GGTTTTTTCCTATGGCTTTGGAGGCTGTCCTGGAACTAGCTCTTGTAGACCAGGCTGGTCCTGAACTCACAGAGATCCACCTGCCTCTGCCTCCCTAGTGCTGGGATTAAAGGCGTTCTCCATACCGCCCTGCCACAGCCACCTTCTTCAGCCAGGCAAACTGCAGTTCACGCCTCAGGGTGGGGCTAGGGAAGAACCTGAGGATCAGGGAGGGTCTCTGAGTCCTTCAAGCAGGAAGCAAAGTCTTCCCCTATTTAAGGCCAGGTAGTCAGCCCCTCAGCTACTATTCCGACTTCCACGTTCTCCCTCGACCATCCTCAGAACTTCGACCATCCAGCCCCAGCCATGTGGGGAGCCTGCGTGTTGCTGCTGGCCCTTGGACTACAGCTGTCATTTAGTGTCACCCCAGGTAATGAGGCTCCTTTGGGTTCTTGTTCCTTTCACACACACACAAAGGGGCCTTCAGTCTGAACGACCCCTCCTCTGCTCTTTTCCTGGACAGTGGAGGAGAAGAACCCACACTTCTGGAACCAAAGGGCAGCCAAGGTCCTGGATGCTGCCAAGAAGCTACAGCCTATTCAGACATCAGCCAAGAACCTCATCATCTTCCTGGGGGATGGTGAGTGTGCAAGGCCTGGCAAACCTGGGGCCCTTGCACTCCTGGTGCCACCCAAGGCCACTGGTGGGTCCGGGCAGAGCTGGGGATTAATATCTGAGTTCTGTGTCTTCAGGGATGGGGGTGTCCACGGTGACAGCCACCAGGATCCTAAAAGGACAGCTGCAAGGCCACCTGGGACCTGAGACACCTCTAGCCATGGACGCCTTCCCATACACGGCTCTGTCCAAGGTGAGCTTGGAGGCACCCAAGTCCCCACAAGGATGGCAAGAGCTGGTACAGGAGGAGGGAGGCTGGGAAGAACACAGACCTGGGGCAGGGGGACAAGTCCCAGAAAGTGAAGGACTAACGTGGAGCAGTCGAGCTGAGCTGAGAACGTCTCTCCCCAGACATACAGCACAGACATGCAGATCCCAGACAGCGCAAGCACAGCCACAGCCTTTCTCTGCGGGGTTAAAACTAATACCAAGGTCATCGGCTTGAGCGCATCTGCACAGTTTGACCAGTGCAACACAACGTGGGGCAATGAGGTCCTCTCTGTGATGCACCAAGCTAAGAAAGCAGGTGGGTTGGGACAAGGCTTGAGGACATGGGTGGGCCTGGGCTACTGGCTGGCTCACCTGACATCTTCTGCAGGAAAGGCAGTAGGAGTGGTGACCACCACGTCAGTACAGAATGCCTCTCCAGCTGGCACCTACGCGCACACGGTGAACCGTAATTGGTACTCGGATGCAGAAATGCCTGCCTCGGCGCTGCAGCAGGGCTGCAAGGACATTGCCACACAACTCATTTCCAACGTGGACATTGATGTGAGCTCCAAGAGTGGGGGAGTGGGGCTAGAGCAAGGTGTCTCTCACTGAAGACTCTACAGCCCACAGTCTGGGTTCTGAGCCCTGGAGGGAAACTGAGGGTGTGGTGTGGGATGGGTAGAGAAGATGCAGCCAAGAGAGGCCCTTCCCTCAACCTGTTGGGACCAGGTGCTGTCAGAAAGAATAGAAGATCACTTAGGTCCCAGCTTCCCTTGTGACTATAGGTGATCCTTGGTGGTGGCCGCAAGTTCATGTTTCCCAAGGGGACACCAGACCAGGAATATCCAGATAACTGGAACCAGGTTGGAACCAGGCTGGATGGACGGAACCTTGTTCAAGAGTGGCTGGCAAAGCACCAGGTACTGGGGGCACTAGGGCAAAGGACATACTGGAATTAGTGAGGGTTGTGCTTTTGAAGATGCATACTCAGGAGACTGGCTGTGTCCCTGCAGGGAGCCAAATACGTTTGGAACCACACGGAGCTCATTCAAGCATCCCTGGACCCATCTGTGACACACCTCATGGGTAACAACTCCCATTCTTGCCCTAGAATCCTGACACTAGGGAATTCTGTGTGTGGGTGTGGGGGGGGGCATGGTGGTTTCCCTAATACTCAGTCTGGTGTTCACCAAGATTTTCAATAAGATTTTCATTTTGTCTTCTTTGGGGGGAATGGGAGGGGGGTGGCTGCGGGGTTTCGAGGCAGGGTGGTTTCCCTGTGGCTTTGGAGGCTGTCCTGGAACTAGCTCTTGTAGACCAGGCTGGCCTGGAACTCCCAGAGATCCGCCTCCCAGCGATCTGCCTGCCTCTCCCTCCTGAGTGCTGGGATTAAAGGCGTGTCCTGCTGATTTTCTAATTCAATAAGATTTTCTTCTTCTTCAGGCCTCTTTGAGCCTGAACACATGAAGTATGACATCTACCGAGACCCTGCCCAGGACCCCTCCCTGGAGGAGATGACAGAGGTGGCTGTGCGCATGCTGAGCAGGAATCCCCAAGGCTTCTATCTCTTTGTGGAAGGTGAGTGGTTGTGACCCAGAGAAAGGAGGAGTCAGGAGTCTAGTGCAGAGTCAAGCATCTCCCCACACCACTGTCTTCCTGCAGGGGGCCGCATCGACCACGGTCATCACCAAGGCATAGCTTATCGTGCACTGACTGAGGCTGTCATGTTCGACTCAGCCATTGGCAAGGCAGACCAGCTCACCAGTGAGCAGGACACGATGATCCTTGTCACCGCTGACCACTCCCATGTCTTCTCTTTTGGCGGCAACACACTTCGGGGGACCTCCATCTTTGGTAGGTGCCGTGGGGTGCGACGGGGGCAGATATTTTTGTCCTGTAGGGATCTGGTGACCAGGCAAAAGTTGAAGGTGTACAGAACCCAGTCTGAAAATTAGTCACCCCCTCTCCCTGCAGGGCTGGCTCCCTCTAAGGCTCTGGATGGCAAATCCTTTACCTCGATCCTATATGGCAACGGTCCTGGCTACAGGCTCCTTAATGGTGTCCGGGCTGATGTCACTAAGGAAGAGAGCAGTAAGTTGGGTGGAGTTGTCAACATCGGGCAGGGGCTGAGAGTGCAAATGGAGGTGGGGACCACTGCTCTCAACACCTTTTCTTTGCAGGTGACCCCACATACCGGCAGCAGGCAGCTGTACCCTTGTTCTCTGAGACCCACGGTGGCGAGGACGTGGCGATATTTGCCCGTGGCCCTCAGGCACACCTGGTGCATGGAGTGCAGGAGCAGAATTACATCGCCCATGTCATGGCCTTTGCAGGCTGCCTGGAACCATACAGTGACTGTGGCCTGGCGCCCCCTGAGGGCCAGAGCAGTGTGGCAAGTCAAAGCCAGACCTCCACCCTGATGTTCCTGTTAGCAGGGACAATGCTGATGGTGGTGTTGGCAGCTGAACCCTGACTATCTCAGCTCACTGAACTTCACCCCAGTGGTCTACAGCTGGCGTCAATGCCTCTGGCCAGTACTGTTTTCTGAGCTCCATCTGGACCTCTGGTTTCTAATTTCAGATCAAACTCAGGGGTGCCAAGCCCGCAGCCCTACCTTAGTCTCCAACAGACCTCAGTGAGTGTTAAACCAGCCGCAGACATGGCAGCACTTCACTGCCTTGAAGACTGGGACAAGATCCAGACACTGCTCAGCCAGGGCCTTGAGGTCCAGGAGTCTGAGGCACTAGCACTGGAGAGTCCCCATTGCCAGACTCAGTTGGTTTCTGTTGCACCTTGGATAATGGGCCCAGCAAAGCTTTGACACAGCCACCTACTGACCCTTATTAGGCTACCTAGCTCTGTCTAGGCTCCTTTAAGAGGCCCAGCACATGGAAATTCTTGTCCCCACCAACCCCCAGCCCCCGGCATCGGGGCGGTAACAGCACTTGGCTTCCTCCTCAGTCCACTGGACCTGCACCTGGCACTTCCCTTTCCAGTTTTTGAGACAGAGTTTTTGCCTAGTCTACATTTCAGTCCACAACCTTACCTCACCTTCCCAAATTCCGGGATTATACATGGTCCTGCTGAATCTGGCTATCTCCCACCCTCCCAGGCCCTCCATTCTCCTGGGGACAATAAAACTAGCTGTTACACACACAATGTCAGTAGTACTTGTTTGCCTAAAGCATCTGGAAGGGTAGTCTCTGGGTGGGGATGGAGGTGGCCACACTAACAAGTGATTTGGTATCTTTAGAGGGCTGACCCATCATTAACATGTCATAGATGAGCTTGTATCGGGGATGGACTGGTCCTGCAGCCTGTTCCCATACATGAGCAAGAAGTCCTGGCACTGGTCAATCAATGCCCTGTTGTCTGACAGGAGAGAGCAACATGGAATGGCACTGGTGATCTGATCGGTGCCGTGTTGGCCAACAGGAAAGGGCAACATGAAGGCCTTGCATTCAGGCCAGCCCTCCTCCTGGCTCTGCTGCCAGCTGCACTGGGCTCAGGTGACCAACACCAGCAAGTATATTTGTTTCAGTTCTATAGGAGAGACTCCTTTCCTCCTCATCCTGCAAACACATGCCAGGCTGCAGATTTGAGAGTTCCCTGAAAGCAGGTTGAAAGCAGGGAATCCCAGGGCATTCAGTCGGACACATAGTAGGTCTTCATTGACAGCCTTTCTTGTTCAATGTCTGTTTCAATTCAGGCCAGGTAGGATAGAAACATTGCTGCTGGAATCTGGGAAGTGGTGACACATACCTTTAATTCTGGCACTCAGAAGGCAGAGGCAGGGTGGATCTCTGAATTCAAGGTCAGCCTGAGCTACAGAGCAAGTTCTAGGAAAGCCAGGGCTACACAGAGAAACCCTGCTTGAAAAACCAAAATAAAACATTGGTGGCTGGAGAATGGAGATGAAGCAAGGGGTATCTTTGTGATATTGTAGCCCGTCCTCTCTGTTTGGATGGAGATCCTCTTTTTCTTTCCTTTTTCTTTTTTTTTGGGGGGGGTCAGGTTTTTCTGTGGAGCTTTGTAGACCAGGCTGCCCTCAATTCAGAAATCTGCCTGCCTCTGCCTCTTGAGTCCTGGGATTAAAGGTGTGTGCCACCACGGCTCAGCGGAGATCGAGCCTGTGTGTGTGTGTGTGTGTGTGTGTGTGTGTGTGTGTGTGTGTGTGTGTGTGTGTGATGTTGGTGAGACAGGGGCACCCTTACCCCACACTGGGCCTGAACTTGCTAAGTAACCATGGATAGCCTTGAACTTTTGATTTTTTTTCTTTTTTTCAAGACAGATAGGGTTTCTGTGTGTATCCTTGGCTGTCCTGGGACTCACTGTGTAGACCAGGCTGGCTTTGAGCTCACAGAGGTTCCCTGCGTCTGCCTCCCGAGTGCTGGGGTTAAAGGTCTGTGTCACCACTGCCCAGCTACTTCTGATCTTCTTGCCGCCACTACACAAATGCTGAAATCACAGGCATGTACTGCTGTGGCCACTTTAAACTGTGCGCAGGATCCAAACTCAGAGCTTGGCATACTAGACAAGCTCTCTACCAATTGAGCTAAAACACCAGCCTTGAGCGTCTCAAAAGAGACAAGGAACAAGACTTTGTCCTCCTAAAAGCCTTATGGCTGTCATCACCCCTCCAGGTGGGAGCTGCCTGGATGAGCAGTCCCTTCTCCTGGACAAACTCATGCCCCTCAAAATCTCCTCAGGCTGAGACCCCTTGTGCCTTGGCTATAGCTGCAGAAGCTCAACACTGAGGCTCCTCTCTTGGAAATAGAGGTGTCTCCTGCCTTGGAAGTCTCCTTTCTGTCTCCATCACAGGTCTCTGACAAGGTCTCCAGGGTATGGGATCACCTTTTCCTTTGTGGAGATGTAATGAGCAGAGCAGGGCTCTGCCTCTCAGGCTTCCATCAGGCCAGGGCACTGTAACATACTTTCTTTTATGTTAATTGCTTATTCTCTGTGTGCATGTGCTCTTGGGCTATGGCAGCATGAATGAGGAGGTCAGAGGGCAACCCTCAAGGGTTGGCTCTCCTTTTCCACCATGTGGGTTCTAGGAATGGAACTCAGGACTTGAGGTTCAGGAACCGGTGGCTTTACCTGCTGAGCCATCTTGCTGGCTCTGTAATACACTATACGTTAAAGAACAAAAATTATTTAGAGATAATGTTATATACTTACCCAAACTGTAAACACAATTTTTATATGCATTGGAAAACAACAACAAATCTGCATGAGTTGCTTTAAGGTGTTGTTTACTTCTGTGGTTATGCTGTATGACTTTGTCAATTAGACACAAGCTAGGGCATCTGAGAGAAGGGAGCCTCAGTAGAGAAAATGCTTCCATAACCTTTGCCCCAGGCAAACCTGTGGGACATTTGGTCCTGGGATCTATAAGAAAGCAGACCAAGCAAGCCATAGGGAGCTAGCCGGTAAGCAGCTCCCCTCCATGGCCTCTGCATCAGCTCCTGCTCCAGGTCCCTGCCCTGCTTGAATCCCGCCCTGACTTCTTTTAATGATGACCTGTAATGTGCAAGCATAAGCTGAATAAACCTTTCCTTCCCAAGTTACTTTTTTTCCCCTATGGTGTTTCTTCACAGTAACTCTAACTAGGACAGTTGTGGCCTGAAACTACAACCTCCAAGGTATGCCTTGCATTTAACAAACACACTATCATTCATTATTGTTGCATGGTTTGCTACTTATGAGAATACTTTTTTTAAATTTTTTTTTGGTTTATTGAGACAGGGTTTCCCTGTGGCTTTGGAGGCTGTCCTGGAACTAGCTCTTGTAGACCAGGCTGGTCTCGAACTCACAGAGATCCACCTGCCTCTGCCTCCCAAGTGCTGGGATTAAAGGCGTGCACCCCCCCCACCTGGCTACTTTTTTTTTTTTTTTTTAAGACAGGATTTCTCTGTGTAGCCCAGGCTGTCATGGAACTCACTCTATACTAGGCTGGCCTCAAACTCACAGAGATCACCTGCCTCCAGCTTCCAAGTGCTGTGATAAAGGTGTGTGCCACCACTGCTCAGCTAGAAATACTGTTTTTATCACTGTCCTATTGATGAATGCTGGGACTGCTTCCACTGTTTGGCTACCTAAAGAAGGTTGCTTTGACCAGGCTGGTACATAGAGCCTAGGTTACAAATGTCACAAATTTCCTGACCCAGCACAGCTACATCCCTGCAGGGTCATGCCTGGACCTCTTTGGATGATGCTCCCTGGACCTTCCTGGGATGACGCTCCTGTCTCTAATGTGTGGAACTCACTCAGGTGCTCCCCACGGATGACCTGGAAGTTTTTGTAATATGAGGCTGTTTTCCACATGTCCACTGGTCTCCTTTCAGGTTTATTGTCTGAAGACCCCAGAGGATGTAAAGATCTTAAGGAAAAAGCAGATGAGAATATCGTGGACACTCAGTGGAACCAAAGGCACCTGGGAAGAAGGGTCAGAGGCAATAGAGGCCGAAGTGAATCTGAACACAGGCAGCCAGTGAATCTGAACACAGGCAGCCAGTTCCCCTAATAACTACAGTGTTTAGTGCTGCTGCAGGAGCTGAAATTCCTAGCCCTCAGGTGGGCAGGAATTCCAGAGGCCCCAACTTCCAGTGCAGTGCCTCACAGTGTCCCTATCTGTGGGAACAATGAAGGATAACTGGAGAAGGGCTGAAGGGTGGAAGGAAGCTGTGTCCTCCCCCCCCCTCCCCACGCTGCATGGACTGCAGTGGATGGAACTTAAGCACTTCTCGGTTGGCTTATAACTGTGTTCCTGCAGTTGTGACAATGTCTGATAAGTCTTCTAGAATTTGGAAGTTGACCTCTGCCCTAGATCCCCGACTTCCCACAAACTAACAAAGACAAGCACACTCTGTACCATGTACCTAGCTCAGCAAGAGGGGAGCAAGGGGGTGTCTGGGCTGGGGTTGGGGCTGCAGGGAAGGATGGGCCCCAGGGGTATGTCTTTTACTGTATGTCTGTTGGTGACCCATTAATCAAGTCCCCTCCTGGGCCTGTGTACCTACAGGGTGTTCATGGGTCACCTGTTCATTCTACTGAGAACCAGTGCTAAGAAGCAGAAGGCCCAGGAGCTAGATCCTTCAGCTGGAGCCCTTGCTTACTGAAAGAACAATGTGAGCAGCAGGGGCTGGGGGATTGCTGGGGGGTGGGTAGGGGAATCTGGAGCAGGGTAGGGTCAGTCTGGTTTCCATTTCTTACTCCACCTTGACCTGAACACTCAGCTTTGCTTTCAGGAAAGCCTGGCTGGCATCACGTTGTATAATAGTTCATTTTATTATTGCAAAATCTCCCAGGAGGATGAGAGCAACATTCTTTGCGTGGCCATTAATGTGCAAGCCAGGCATAGAGATACATGCATCTAACTATAGCACCAGGAGGCTGAGGCAGGAGGATCATGAGTTTGAGGCCCAGTGGTGGCAACTGAGGACTGTCAAAGAGCCACTGGTTATCTTGTCT